ATATATATATATTGTGGCGTCACCAAATTTTATTGTATTAATTTTATTACATTAAGATAGTGTTCTCTGCGGAAAGAAAGTAGGTTGCGAGACTGGGCTGTCACAAAGGGTTCTTTTCAACGCACCGCCCCCACCGTCGCCAGCTGCCCCGCCCGCCCGCCAAATAGGGTGCTGTCCGAAGCAGACTTATTTATGACAAGCCGCCCGCCCGGCGCTCGCCCGTCGCACCACTTCGGCGCGCGGCGATCCGTAGGGAAGAACTTTTCCCCACCCCCCTTCGGGGAACCCCGCGCACTTAACAAACAATGACCGCCCGCGTCTTGGCCCGGAGACAGACCTCGCCTGCCGGCCATTCGTCACGCGCCCACTCAAGGAAGCTCCCTACAACACTTTCGGAAATCCCAGAGGTGTTGCTAATAGCTCGCCAGTCGCCAGCTGCCGATCACGGCGCCGAAGAATTATGTTTTCGAAAACAAAGTCGCCTGAACACGTGTTCGGGTAGCTGCAAGCGATGCTTCTAGAATGAGAGAGAGAGAGAGAGAGAGAGAGAAAGAGAGAGAGAGAGAGAGAGAGAGATCGCCCTGGAAAATTCCAAGAACAGTGCGTCCCGATTGGGTGACAAAAATTTCGACGCAAATAGTTTCGGCCTATGCGACATCTCCCCGTGAGGGAAGGGGCAAAGCTACGGGCCTTGAGAAGTTTTCGGGAGGGAAACGGATGCGAGCTCGGCTGGGAGCTGAGTAGAGAAAAACATTATTAGGGAGAAATCGTAGGAAAAAAGAGGTGGCTCTAACATCATTAGAGAGAAATTGTAGGAGAAAAGACGTGGCTCTTAGATAAGACTTGGAGTGAGAAACATTATGCGGTTGGGCCATTTCAAGCCGTGCATTCGCCCGCTGGCGCCCGTGTGTCTCGAGTGCATGTGCCGCGGCCGCCTTTGATCGATCGAGTCATGCCGCAGTGAGCACGAATGGGGAGTCGGTGGACCTGAGCCCGCCTAGCCGACGGCAGTACGCGGTCAGGCCTTGCAAGCGAAGGGTGATCACGAGACGAGGGACAACCATCAAGCGGTTTCGGAGTCGCCGGACAAACAGCGGGTTAACTGGCCGTTACTTTTAACGAAGATGAATCTCTCTACTCTGAGATTAATCACGGGGTTCCTTCGCTGGGTAGTCCAGCAAAAGTTTCAGCGTTGCCGCGCTCAGGCAGTTTTTTAAATTATTGTAGACAAAACCCCAATGTTAGTGTTAAGATGTTTCTTCCTAGCTATTAGAACTATGATCTCATTGCGCAAAGTTGGTCGGCAGTTTTTGTCGTTTTCTTGCGACGTGTAACTTCCCTGGCAGCTAATGTTGTCAGGATTAAATTAATTTTTGCCCAATAAATGAAATGGTTTAATCGATATTTTCACAACCTCCCTTCTCGTCCATCCATTTATTGTAGGAATGAACCAGCGACCCGACTGAGCTATAAAAGTTACAATATAAGTCATTTTATGGAACATTAACTAAAGAAAACAATTATTATCGCTTCATGCTTACCGTGGAAATTGTATTATTTGATCATACACTTATTTAAAACTGTTATTTAAAATACCGATGAAAATTTGCAGCTTTTTACCGCAGCATTATATAACTTTCTCTCTACTGCGAAAGTGGTAGCGAGAAAGTAAAGTACTTTTTTATAAGAATCTTTCTGAAAGGAATTTGCATTTTGTTTTGAAGAAGTATAGATATTGCTTTCTTATTCATATGCGAGAGTTTAATTTCGTCCCGTCATCTTTGCCAGGATACTCCTAGGTTTACCGTAACATCTTGTCTTGACTTCTAGTGTATGAGATCTATGAGAAATCTGTCTGTGCTTTGTTTTAAGGATACTCAAAACAGTGACAAGCACCGATACGGGCCTAGGCGGAGCCTGTGGAAGTTAATGGGGAATGGTCCCTAGAGGAGCGGGAGTTACCATTATTCATTTCAATTATTCATTCATATCATTCATCATCATTTTTCTTTTCATTCATTATCATCTCTTTCATTCGTTCATTCCTTTAATCCATGCCTTCAGAGCATACCTCTTATAAGCGCGAATGGCTTGCGGGAGATTGCTGTCGGGTTCCTTCATGAGGTAGCGGCGTGTGCCGCGCAGCGCGTCCCTGAAGAAGAGCTCAGGTACGATGTTCTCCAATTGGTAGGAGAATCCCTCACGGTCCTCTGGCCGCAGCCTCTTCTCCAGACCCAGGAATCGTTTGTTCGAGAAGTCCCAGTTTCGTAGGAGGAACCACGAAAGCGCAATCATGGCCGAGTAGATTCGGCGCTGCAGGCGTACCAACCTGCAACGCGAGAGGTGCACCGTGACTGCGTTAGTGGGAATAGACGCGTCCTAAGATTAGAAAATGATACAAACTCGAATGCATAAGGAAGTAGAGTTGTATCCAACGAGTAGACCAAGGAACGTCATCGAATTGCATAATTTTACTAATGCGCATAACAAAAGGAAATGTATATAACGTTTTTGTATTCCAGCATTATAAAAGAACCTTTTCTGTTACAAGAAATTGTTCATAATCGGACATTTTACGGCACAAATGATGACGTATTAGATTTTATGTCACGAAAGATTGCGTCATCACACATTCAGCCAATCGTAAGGAGAATCGGGGGGAGATAGAGCTAAACGGAACAGCCGACCACTCGCACGATGTCAAATATCCGAATCGTCATAGGGAAGTTGTTTGGCAAAATTTAATTTGATTCTCTTATAAATGTATAATGCTGTTATACAAAATACTATAGTATGCAACTCGTTTACAATGTTGCTTTATCACATTCGTACAAATTTGAAAACTCGCTCCTAAAGACACTCGTTTTCAAAACGTACTCATGCAATAAATCTTAACATTATAAACTAATTGCATAAACTACTATTACGTATCACCAAAAATAAATCAAAAATAGTCTTTTTTATTTACAATATTGCATATTTCTGAAATTTTTTAACTGCATGTTTCTACAATAGTCTTCTGATAACATTGTTTTTTCTTGAATCGATATACTTCCTGAAACTTTATTTGTGGGCATGGCCATAACAAACTGGACTGAATGTTACGGCATCTTGTAGCAATGCTACAGGTTCTCTCGCTTAATATTTATTTTGTTGTTCCTCTCGGTAGTCGCTTTTGATGCACTTTTGCTTAAGAGTATGTTTGGTAATTTTGAAGAAAAATGCCGAAATATAGGCGTTGTTGGGTTTCAAATTGCCACAACAGCCGAAGGAGAGATGCGTAAAAGAAGACTTATGTTCTTTTCCAAGCGATCATGAACGGCAAGAGAAATTAAATATTTGGCATGATTCGTTTGTAATGGTTTCAAATTATTAGAATAATTAATATTTTTTATTTATTTATTTACAAATAGCCCATGGCTGCATCAAAATTTGGTAACGTAGTCTAACTGCATAATTTTAATAATTTATAACAATGTCTCTTTTACAGTTCTTCAAATATCAAAATCAGTATAATCAAAATATCAATTCTTTAACAGCTCAACTGGCCATGAAATAACTTTCCTCAATTTATATAAGAAATTAAGTTTCTTTGGCTATTTTGTTCTTAATGTACTGAAAATGATATTTAAAACATACATGGCTATCTATAATAACTGCAAGGTATTTGTATATCCTAACCCATTTCAAATTTTCCCTGTTAAGAACAATTGATTGTCACGATTCTACTTCTTCTTTAAATTTATCTTGCCCCATAATTTTGTTTTACAAGCATTAACACTTAAAAAATGCATGATCAACCAATTTTTAACCAAAGTTAATTATCTATTAATATAATATTATTCCCCTAATTTTTTATATAGTGTTATAATTTTTGTTTGTCATAACATTAAATTGAATATTTGTTTTACTTAGCAATTTATATATTATTACAAATTTTATTATAGGTTTATGAAATGGTTGATGGTAATTAGGACCAGAACCTATCTCCTTGACTATGGAGGACATTAACAAGGGGTGTGCATGACCTGGTAAGTACAGAATCCTTGTTTTTTGAAGATGGGACAGCACTACATATCTTGAATTTCAACAGCGCCTCTTTTTGTATTACAGACAGCTCTCTACCTGCTGGAAAAGAGGGTGGAAAACATCCACGATGTGGAATTCATTCCAGCAGTGATATGAAGTATAATACTGTCAATTTTGGTAATCTCTTAGTATTGCTGTGTGGTAATTTTGTATTTCAAGTGATATGCCATAGTATATATGGTGTTATTCATGGTCCATTCAGATACATAATTGCATGTTCAGGAAGGAGACGATTTTTTGACAGGTTTTAAAACTAGTTCGTATCACTGTGAAATGTATTCTGCCGCCAACCATATGGGCTAGAGTGTGAGCTGTTATGGGAGGGTCAAAGTGTGAGTTCAGTGCATGTAGTTTGAGATGCAGATAGTTTTCATGAGTGATTTACTTTGTTCCAATACTGTCACTAGAACGAATGTTATAAGAATTGATACAAATCATGTGGAAAAAGATGGGAATATGTTTGTGTGTGAATTAAGTTGTGTATGTATCTTGACATGCCATATATTAAGAATTCCAGAGCCTGTATTGTTTTCTTTCAATATGTTCTTTATTAAGCCTGCAACAGACTAAATTGTCACAAAATTATGCATTTAAATATGTTTTGGAAAGCAAGTTTTAAAGAGTACTTTTCTTGCATTTTATCTATATAAATACATTTAAATGTGAACATTCTTCATTTGGTGGAAAGACAAGAATAAAAGGGAGTATCATGGCACAAGCAAAAAATTGCTTTCATAACTGAACGGACAATAATGAAAATGTTTTCTTAATAATTTGAGGCCTATTCAATACCTGTTACAAATATTAGTAAGTAATACTGGGTAAGTAATCGATATTTGGGTTTACATATGCTGTCCATTTAGTAAGTTCCTGTGCTTTTGAACATCAATATATCTGAAATACCTGAATAGTGAAACCTACAAATAAAAACTGTGTTCTGTGATAAATCAAGCTGAAATAAATTGAGTTAAATTTTTATACTCAATGCCTTTTGTTACATTAAATTTGTATTTTGTAAGATCCAATATTACTTTTGAAAAGAAAGGGAAAAGTGACGTTTAAAGGAGAAGTTTTTCCTGTACATTTCAACAATAATTAAGTAAATACAAAATTCTGGACTCCAATGATGTTGCGAATCGAAAGAAAAAATATTAATTAGTAATGTAAATAATTAAAAAATATCCAAAATAGGCATGGTGATTTTCTCTTGCATACAGGTGATATATACCAATAGTAGTATATTAAAGGTGTTAATGTTATACATATTCAAATTTTTGTATTTTCCATTATGTCGGTAAACAAGAAAATTATCTAAAATATGTAATGCATAAGAATCTGAAAAAATTGGCATTTTGGAGAATAACAATTTCATCATCTGTGGAGCTGTTAATTCTTATTCTAAAGAAATTTTTAAGGTTTCACTTTTCATGTGCACATGATATAATGTTGTATGATAAGTGGTTTAATTTGGTTACGTTGATTGTTTCACAGCAGTGATATTATGAGTAACATGAGTTTCACTTTGGTCTGTGCAGATCCCCTTATTCCAAATAACAGGATTTCTTTCAGTATATTCATAGTATAGTATATTGCTATATACACATTTTTAATTAAGAATTTTAAGAAAATTTGTTAATTATAGAGCTGTAACAGACTTATTCAAGACTCATATCTATTATAATTTGTGTATTATTAACTTATTTTATATCAGTAATCAGTAATTTTTGTAAACTTATTTAATATCAATAATATTAAATAGTAAACTTATTTAATGTCAGTAATTTTATACCCACAAATGTATATTTGTGTAGTATAATATATTTAGTAGAGGGCTTGATTGACTCGGTCCACAGCCTGTATCAAATGGCACTTCTATTAACATTTTTATTTCTCATAATGTTTAAAAATATATTTTTACTATATATTTATTTCTTATAATATTAAAAAACACATTTAAAAATATATTTTTGTACTAGTGTAAAATGAAGATTATGTAAATAAATGATATCTGTTGCTATCTATTGGTTTAACCCCTATTCTTAGTATTAAGCGCATATATTGGCCATTTTAAGGACATATAATGTCCACTTTAAGTGGAGAGTTGCATGTATATTTAATTGTTTGCATATATTTAACTTTTTTAGTCCATAAAGTTCCGAGGTCTACTTATGAGGAACCCTAGGCTGTGGATGTAACAAGCAATAGATCAGACATCCGAGTTAGAAACCCTCCGAACTTCTCTTGTGTAGTGGAACAATATACTACCAAGTCAGATACATTGAGAGGGCTGCTACAAGATACATAAATAATAGTTTCAAGAACGATAAGATTTTACAGTTCGAAAATGACATAAACGTCATTTTGCTTCATTCTTTCGATTTTCTCAAAATTTCACAATTTTCCACAATTTTTTATAAATAAATATTCAACGTTAATATTTACATTACCAATGACGTTTTTACGCATTATTGCATTTGTGAGTATGAAGTTTATCGAAAACTGCCATTTTTTCTCTGAATATCGGATTGCGTATTTTCAGAAAAGCTTGAACGTCATTTTCTGAAAAACACCTGCAAACTTTAACAAAAATCTGCATAGTGCTCCAGCACCCTCTTCCATAATATTATTAAAATCATACGAATTTCAGTATTCCCATTACATAAAAAACTGACAAAATTAAAAAAAAATGTTCTGTCGGAGCAAGTCCTTAAAAACTAACTTACCATTGTATATTTAATGTGCAAGCTATTATCATGTAATAGCAAACCCAGCTTTGAACAAATTCATAACTCGAATTTTATTATCATATTTAACCATTTATTTCTAGTGAGTGTTGTAAGCGTTAATGTAATGTTACGCAACAGACGTGCAGAATCGCACGAACAAAATTCTGCGAACTCCGCCCACACACTTCCGTCTCTCGCTGGCGCAACCACCTCGGGTAATTTTTTCAAGATATAATAGTAATAATAATAATAATAATAATAATAATAATAATAATAATAATAATAATAATAATAATAATTTATTGTGAAATTTTGCCGTCTCTAAAAGTACCGGACCGCCCTCACTACGCTAAGTCACCGGGAAATCCCCTTTCAGTTTGTGATAGCCGTTTCTTACATGTGATTTTCGGAAGGAGTATACATTTTTGTTAAGTTTTTATTAACAAGTAGCGCTAACAGATGTTCCAGCACCAAAGCAGAGAAAACTTCTAATGCAGGTGAAAGTGGCAAAAATCTTTCGAATTGTGTATGTGAAGTTAGAGGTGTAAGAAGGTACTCTTGATAGGAAGGGTCAATTTTAGATTTTACAAACGAAGCAAGGTTCACCACGTTCACAGTGCAAATGTTACTGAAAAAACAGATAGAAGTGGATCAATTGTATTCGATCAATGTTATATTAAACAGACTCTGGTGAACGTAGAAATCAATCTACGGATCTACTAATCTTAATCTACTAATTTACTAATCTAAAGGAGGAAAACGGAATGGGATGCTCTTGGGCTACGCCGTTTTGCAGAGGTAAGTAAACGGCTTAGGAAACGTTGCCCGCGGGATGCACTCGGGATAGATCCAGCGCGTGACAGGTCTGGGGCTCCCCCCTCGCGACGACGGCGGTGGTGATAATATATTTGCCTGCGACGGCGCCGGGTCGGTCTGTGAGTACGGAGTGCTAACGTAGGATGCCGGCAGACCGACGCTAGCATCCGACGCTGATAATCACTCATATGCACTCACATGGGTTTGCGGCCGGTGGCGGAGAGCAGAGCGTCGACGATCACCGCTGGCACCAGGTGGAAGAAGAAGAACAGCATTAGGAAGAACAGGTAGTTGCTGGTAATAACTCCGCACGGGTAGTACAGAATATCTGAGAAGGGCAGCAAGGCACAGCCCACGATCCCGAAATCCATGATGCGTTTCTGCGTGATGTGATGCATCCCCGCCTGCGCGGCGTTGTACACGAGCGGCGGGCCCAGCCTGCGCAGCCACACACCGCACACACTTTTCTCGGAGCACATTTCTTAAACAATTACAATACATTGTATTCATCTCCATGTAAGTTAACAAATACAACAGTTGCACCTGAATGAATAAATATTTGTGCTCGAGTGCAGTTTAAGTGAGCTTGTAACGGAAACAAAAACTGAGATATGACAGGAGTACGCATCATGTATAATCAAGTATAAGTTAAAAAACAGTATCCTAATCATAATTTCCGAAAATTATAGAAAAAACATATGTTCTTGAAAAGAAAAGTAGGGCATACTATGTTATGGTTACAAAAATTTGAAGACAAATATTATCGAAGGATGAAAAATCTTTGTTTTAATTAAATGTGACGAATAAGAAATCTTGTTTTGATGACTGATAATGTATATTTTAGTGAGTGATCATGGCTGTCCGGGTGACGCCGCGTCGAAGGCTGTGTTGCCGACGTTTCGACCATCTTATCGTGGTCTTCCTCAGGGCACGTCTGCGACGGAGGTTTTTTTTCGGCGTAGCCGAAGGTCGTTGAGAGTTTTGATCTTTGGATCATGTTGCAGTTGCAGTTCCTTAAATGCGTTTTACTGCGGTGTGAAGTTAGTGTAGGTTCGCGACGGATCTTTGACGTTTGACAGTTTGGCGATTAATGTAGTCAGTTTGTGGCTATGCCATTTTAGCGGGTGTGACACACTCTATGCCATCAGTATGTCCCAGGGGAGAGCTTGTCTTTTTTCTATAGTAAGGACCGGTTTTTGGAAGTATTAAAGTGTTGCCGGAGCGTTGAGCGAAGGACTGAATATAAAGTTCCTTCCTCAGTATTTTCAAAGGTGACCGAAACGGAGGGCATGTTATAAGTCTCAGAACTTTGTTCTGAACAAGCTCAAGTGTATCCTTGTACTTCTGTGCTGTAGTTCACCACGTCGATGCGGCGTAGGTGGGCACAGGCCGGCAATAAAAGGTTTTAAAGAGTGCCAGTTGGAGGTCCAAGTGGAGAGATGGTTCCTTTAAGAGAGGTTTAACTTCAATTACGGAGCACCAAAACAGAAAAATAAATGGACGTTCTGATCGGACTACATCCGAAAAAGCCACCAATGCGCACGAAGATCTTAGTAAGCCATGAACTTTGTTTTTTGAGCTGAACAGGAAGATAATTATTGTATACAAGAAAAATAGCATCAGTTCAATTAATGATCTCATTTTTATGGGTAAATCATAGTTGTTAATAAATGTTAAGTTATTTTATTGAAACAAGGCTGATAATATATAGTTAGTTGCTATCAATTAGAAAAATGTATTAATTAACAGAACATTCAGAGTTGGCAAATTCTGTACAGAGACCTGTCCACGTATAACAGGTAAGAAGATATGTTGTATGTCGACACCCATAAATAAATGGAAGTGGAATCAACTTAATAAATATTCCAGTATGGGGCAAATTTATGAGAATAGTAGGGCAAATGGATGACAGAAAGATTTATAAATTTATACCATATGAGTTTTGATAGCGTTCCCAAGCGGAATATTGAAATAGCCGAAGTTAAATGAATTAAATATCTATAAAGAAAGATTTGTATGATATTATAATACATTAGATATTCATTCGCGGGTATTTCGCAATGGGTACAAGATTTAGTCGCTTTTATCAGACACGCACAATTTGCTCGATCTGAGGACCCCACAATATAATTTTTTTCTTTGGAAAATCGCCGGTTTTTTCAGTGTCTTGACAAAACTTTCTGCACACCGCGTAAGTAGTATGCGAGGAAATAGGTATTCTAAGGAATCTCACCCCTTCCTAGCGATCTCGCAGCTGCACATGACAATTCCCTTGACGACGACGTCACAGGGTACATAGTCGATGTAGTTGTCCGGGTGGTTGTAGATCGTGTGCACCACGCCCTTCCCAGCACCCACCAGCAAACCCATGGGGCCGTTGAAGTTGTCGACCCAACCGGGGAACGGGTCACAGGCGGTAGCGACCACTGCAACAAGAACACGACAGTAAGAGAGATGCAGGACCTCAAGTGTCACTTTCAGTGCTTATTATATCTCGAAAGATGGTGGTGTTCCTCCTTTCTGGAACGCTAGAAGAACCGCCGTCCTACACGTTGGCATGTGCGTGATTTCCCACTTCAGGAATTCATTATCCCCCCAGTGGTACACCGCCCCAGACGCGCTAACTCTAAGATCTCAACTGGAGGTAGTGTGTAGTGTAGTGAATGTGTGTATAACAGGAGATGATATAATAAGGAAGAGATGAAAAGATCGAGCGTGCACCGTTTGTTAGCTTTCTGCTCCGACATTTACCGTATATAGATTGAAGGAACCGTGGAGGCCTACTGATCAGAGCAGTTAACCACTGGACGGACTTAGACGTAGAATTGCGTGACATTCTTTCTTAATTCCGTCCGTATTTCCGTCAGAAGTGTTCTTTCACAGATGCCATCAACAGTATTGTTTCCGAATTAAAAAATATATTTCCTCGAACATGTATATACACTGGCGTTTGTGAAAATTGCAAAATCGAAAAGGAATGGTCGGAATCACTTAAAAATCTGTGGATATGTAGAAAAGTGTATCCATAAGAATTGATTTCATTTGCATGGAGACAGAGAGCACGTTGACCTAACAGCGCCTCCAAGGCCAGTGTCGTGTTACACTCAGTCGGTGTAGAGCCGTCAAATGTCGTGGACACGTTTCAAACAAGTGCCGGTATGTCGTACCTCGACGCCAAAGGGCGAATATCAGCATCATAGTGAATTCGAACGGGGGAAAAGGATCAATCTCCAAAAAGCGGATGTAGTACCGTGACATCACCGCTCGAACTGGTGTGGCGGGTTGTGTGGAAGTCGGAAATTATTTCCGGCGCCACTCAAGAGAGGGTGGCGATAGCAGACACCGCGGCGCCGTCACGCTCGACCAGGTTCCGGAGCGGACGGGCGCACCCGTACCTGACAGATGGCCAGCGGACCCGCAGCCCGAGCCGGCTATAAAAGTCACGCCTGGCGAGCTGAGAGACAGTCAAGCGCCTGCCTACACTGTGAAGTGATAAGAGGATTGTGAACAAGTGCGACGACACAGCTACGGTTACGGACTTTCTCTCTCTTGGAACAGTGAACGGCACAAAAGCTGCGATTTTGGACATCTCCCCGGGAAATTGTGACTTGGATATTCTTCGTTACATCTTCTGGAAAATTGTTTGGATCTGGCTTGAATTTGTCAACCTCTGTACTGGTTGTGGTTGGAATAAATCCATTTTTAGAAATTTCTGTCTTTTGGATACTGCAATACACAGAGTCGAGCGGGGAGTGGACCACACTATGTGACCGACAGAACGTCGTCGTTAGCACTGCAACGGATGTATCATGTCTGCGTTGATGGTTTGACGCCGTCTGCTGAGGACAGGACTGGTGGCACGCATACCACTGCGTCTTATTCTGTTAATCAGAAAGCCCGAACGCCTGAGAGAGCAATAGGCTTTGGACGTGTTCACTGGTGTGCTGAGTGGCAAAATGTAGTGTTTTCGGGCGAGTTCCACTTCAAGTTGTGCCACAGCGATGGTGCGTGTTCATGGTGATCGCAATCTGCAGCGCAAATGCGGACAAAACGCCAAGTGTAATGGTTTTGGGCGCCATTGGCTACAATGTGCAATCTCGCTTCATACGTATTAAGCAACAGCTACATCAGGAAGGTTTTAGAGTCAGACGTATTGCTCCTCCTGCAAGCAGCTGCTCATGCCATATTTCAGCAATGTAATGCTCGACCGCAAGTGGGGAGGAACGTGCAAGCTTACTGCGAAGAACAAAGTGTACTATTGCTTCTCTGGCCTGCGCATTCGCCTGACATGTCGCCCATCGAACATGTTTGGGACATGATCGATCGGCAACTTGTTCGTTCCGGTCCTCCTGCAGCCACTGTCGGTGCTTTGTGGTCACGCATAAGAATCTCGTGAAGGTGGGTTCCCCAGCAACATAACCAGGCTCTCTTTGAATCCATGCCACGACGTCTAGAAGATCTGATGGCAGTTAATATATTAATATACTACGAAAATACGTATGTATACGGGAAAATAAAAATACGGTAATACGGATGAAACATGTTACATCTTATGTTAACTTCAAAACCGCATCAGCATATGACTTCTACCGCTTGATTCACTTGTTTCTCATAGAAATAGTAACAATTAGTGTTGCCATCCTCATGGAAGAAAATTATGACGACGTGAAGCAGAAATTCCCACTGGGTATGAGAGTTCAATCAATGCCACCTACCTTATGTGGCGTTGGTTAAATTCCCAATCTGCCCACTTAGATCGCACGTTTTGGCATTGGTTGTTTTAACATGCCAAAACGTTTTTTGGCATTTATGAGAATCTTCTTGCTGGTTTAAAAACTAATCAGCAGTTCCCACCAGGAGACCGAGATGCGTCTAACACTTCATATTTCTCGATCGGTGCACGCAAAGTGGTCTAACCTTGAGTTGCAGACGACAGGTAAAATTATTTTTCAAGATAACATGACATCACGCACACAAAGTACCCCCATACAATAAATGAAACAATTTCTAAAAATATTTCCACTGACAGTGAATTCTGAGGTAGTTTAATTTTTTTCAAAGTCTGTTTTGCTTTAATCCCTTAATATTTTTCTATTAATTAAAAATAAATATATATAAAATAAATTCCTTACGGAAATATCAGCATATTAATAAATATAACATATGGGTGTGAAGGTGGATTTCAGGCTAGTACACGAAAATGAATACTGGGTAGCCTAACCGAGGTTGCGGGGGGCTGGCTTCATTTTCTGCAATGGGAAAGATCGGTCATGCCACCTCCATATATTATAACCGCCTTGGAAGCCGCAGACGCAACACTTACCCACTGACGGTCGCAAGATGCCCACGGGCAGGCGGTCCGAGTAGTGGTCCACGATGTGCTCCGCCAGGTTCTTTGTGAA